TATATGGAAATTTCAAGACTGTGATCTGGTTCAACTTACTTATTGGTTTAGAGAAAATTATTTTACTTATTGGTTTAAGGAAAATTCAGTTTCCTTCGTTATTGGTTTTGGATTCTACAAAAGTTAAGTTCTTGTAGAACAGATTTGAGAACTCTATAAGTATAACCCTAATAAGATTTTAGAGGGTGTGAAAATTAGAGATAAATTTGTGTCAATACAAGAGAGAGCAATTGAGAGAGATTGAGAGAAAATTCTCTAATTCTTCATCTTTTTCACAGTGAAATTGTTCGGTGTGCTCCATGGACGTATCTTTAAGATTTGGGTGAATCATGTATATCTTGTGTTCTTATGTGTGATTTTTTTTATTCTTCGTGATTGTTTGTTTATTCCTTAAACTTGTTTATTTTGCGTTTCTGACACAATAATTGGTATCAAATTCGGTTAATTGTGCAGTGCAACTCTAACACTTTTGGCCATCATTTATATAAAATAATTTTAATTAATTTTGGCTCATTTAGATTAACGTCCAATTGAATTGAAGAAGGGTGATACATAGGTCAGTAATCAAAGTATGGAGTGTCTAATTTGATTTTAGTCCATGGACAACCTCTTTTCTACAATTTTGTTTCTGCTGATTTTTTTTTGAAATATCCTAATTAGTTTGCATATAATTAAATTGAAAGACTGTATTCAAGGGATATCTAATAGATAAAAGGCTGAAGTAATGGGAGCCGATATTCATAAGTGACTACTTTTTAAAAATATTTTAATAAAAATCATAAGTGTGACAAAAATAATTAGTATCGTTATTACCTAAAATGCGTTGCACTCTCAACCCTATTAAAAGATGTCTCCACCATATCTAGTGGTGCTCCTGAACTTTTTTTATTCTCTTTTTATATATATATATATATATATTGCTCTTCTTTTCCGCTAGTCATGTCATATTCTCTTTTATATCTATGTGTTTATATATTTACTTTGATGAGTTTAGGACCAATGAGACAACGATTTGTTATTTTTCCTTCTGGTGAATCTATTCATTGTCATTGCGGCGCTGGAGTTGTATTTTGGTGCCGTGCGTAATAGAAAGTCCAGATAACTTCTCTGGACGTAGAAGAAGGTTATAACAACGTCTAACCTGGTATCACTGACAATGATATCTGAAAGGCTATTACTAATTATTATTATTATTTTTTTAATTACAACCGCGACCGTCTGTCTAATATTGCCTTATAAACCAACTGTGGTAATTACTAATTAGTTATAGTTTATCATGTATTGTCTTATAAACTAACTGTGGTAATTAGTTATAGTTTATCATTAACATGTTTTTTTTTTTCATTCTTTTCATTCGTTATTACAGGCTCAATAAATGGGCGATTAAGTCCAAGCATGGAGATGTTCATTGGCCAATTTGGCCCAGCTGGCTCTTGCAAAGCTGTTCCAGTTTGTTATTCTGGCCCTAGTGCCTTCTGTTTTGTAGCTCTCTTCTCTTTGACAGGTTATATTAAAAACATAAAAATGATAAAAAAGTCAAAAGATAAAAAAAATAAAAAAAATAAACAATGATGTGACTTATCTATATTTTTTATAACTAAAAGTCTAAATTTAAAAGCATCATTTATAGTACCTATATATGCTTTTGTCCAAACCATTCAATCCCATTACATTGTTTGTTTCCTTTTGATTCCTCATCACAAAGAAGTGTAAAAATGGCTTGCAAGAAAAACAGGTAAGCAAGTTTTCTTCTTCTATTAACTAAATCTTTGTGTACTTGTTTAAATTAATTGTAAACTCCCTATGTAAACATGTACATATATGTGTGTATCAGTCTCTCTCTCTATTGACTAGTCTTGAAAACGATGGAGAAGAAAGTGATGAATCATACACTGATTTATTATGTTTTAAGGGTGGTGTTCTTTGCTTCCTTTGCCAGTTTAATGATGTGGTTGATAGTAAGGACTGTATCAATGGTGTTGGCACATCCAATCCACCATGTCACAGCAACATTCATAGCATTGAGTGTGCTATTCACTATTGTCCTCATCATCGTCGTCGTTCTATTGATGATCATCGTTGTTGTAGAGTGTTGGAACATATGCGAAATAGTCATACATCAGGTGATTGCACCTTCCTCGACCTCAGTGGCCGAACAACGTCCAACCATAATATCAGAGCAAGTTTAATATTTCTTCCATGAAAAAAGAAAAAACAATGTTTGTTTTATTTTATTTTATGTACTTCGTATTTTTATTTATGTAATCCTAATTTTATTTTGTTTTATTATCATCGGAGTCTCCTGTGATATATCAAGACATGATCGGTATAGAATGCTTTATGCACCATATAAAAAGGACATGACTAAATCCACTTAATTCTGTTTCATTTCAAAAGGCATAGCAGATATTTTTGGGCATTATTTCTTTTTCTTTTGTCCTCGCTAGCTCAATTTGAGAAAGTAGTGCAACCGATATCCACCTTCTTTCGAGTAAAGGCA